TGGTGGGAGGCGGCCGGTTGTAAGGCGCGACCCCGGCCCGGCCCAGGCCCGATTTTGCGAGAGAGCCGTGTGCGAAGGCCTGCCGGTGGTGCCGCGGGCGCGGGGAGAGGCCGGCAGCTCGTCCGTACCGCAGGAGCCTTCTTCGGGTGCCGGGGACCGAGGAGTGCCCGCAGTAAAAGCGCTCCCGCCGGGATGGAACGGTTCCCGGGTGCAGGGGTCGCCCCGCTGGGCTCGGGCGGAGGGTCTTGCCCGGCTCCCGGGCACCGAAGTTGAGGTCAAGTTTCCTCCAGCTGCGCTGCCCGACAGACCGCGTCGGTGCGTGCCCGCGATGGCAGTCGCGGGCTGTGGGTGCTTAGCAGCCTGCCTCTAAGTCTTTCAGCCGCAGAGAGTAGTTTTTTTCTTCCAAACGTTGATTTTATAAACCAAAAAATCTTACTCCCGCCGTGAGAGGCGGGGAAAGGAAACACGCCTGAACCAAAATCTGCGTGTTAGGCGTGTGTCTCTTTTTGAAACAGGTGTGGGAATGTGACTGGAGAGTGTGGAAACTCACTTGAACTGCTCGTTTTGTAGTAACTTTTCTTTACAGAAGGTCTGATGATCTTAGAGCTGTGTCTTGTAAATACTTGTGTGCTTCAGTCTTTCAAAACATTAAATTTCTCATTAGTTAACTAACATTAATGATGTTTTTAAGAAAGTGAAAGCTTACTATGGCTGAAAAAAATCTCTACTATAAAAGCCCCTACCAAAGGCAGAACGTTTAATGTGAACTCTGACAGATGTGTAATAGGTGCTTGTTTTGTAACTTTGATAGGAAGGGGATAAACTTATCAGATGAGTTTGTATGCTGGACTTGCTTATACCCAGTACTTTGGATCACGTAACATAGAGGCTGCTGAGTAGCTCCTGATCTTAATCTAGGGCGTTAAGAGTTAATGCAATTATCACTCATGTTTTTCTAGTCTCTGTATTCCACTTCTTTGATTCTTTTACCTAAATATGAGATCTTTGGCATTCTTAGTCCTTGACACTTGTGCTGACCTGCTACCTAAATGGTATACTGCCTTATCTATACGGTTTTACATATTTCTGAGCTCTTGGGCGTGCTGGTTTTGCTTCATCTCAACGAGCAGAAAGAGTTCAAGCTGACAGGTATAATATCTGGAACAACTTCTAAATGTTGTTAATGCAACATGTAAATATACAGATAGTATGTTCCATAGATGTTTCAGAGATCAAGTCTCTCCAAAAGAGTGTAATACAATGTGGTTTGCCTCCCTACCATAATTTTCTCAGTAGTGTTGAATGCCCGTTTCTCCTGTAGTGGCATATCTCAGAAATTTTTAATGTTATTTGCCACCTCTCACCCATCCCCCTTCCAGGATTTCATGTTTAAACAAGATTCCATCTCCTAAGACACAGTTGTCCTCTGCTCATCGCTCTTCAAGGAGTTTTCCTTGTCTCATGAATCCCATTTGAATGCTATGGGCCACATCTGTGCTTTGGAGCACTTTTGTGACAATTTTGCAAAGCTAGATAATCTATAATATGGGGTGGGAGTTGTGATGGTGCTCAGCACTGAAAATGTTACAGTTTTGGCAGTGCATTGTTCGTTGAGCTCTTACATTTTGGTTTTCAGCAGAACTAGCTGAAAATTTGTGTAACTGCATTCTCAAAGTTATCTTTGTTGGTACTTGCTTGTGGGTTGAGGCTCCATGCTTCACTGCATGTGGGGGTTTTTGAGATTTTTTGGATTCTTCAGAGTTCAATTTTCATATTTGCAATAGTTGTAATCATCCTGCTTCCCTTTTTAGGAACTTCTCTGTTCTTCATACACTGAAGTCTCCTGGGGAGACACTGTTCTCAGGTACTCTTAATGGAATATAAATATTTGAAGAGTATCTGTTGTCTCTGCCCAGGAAGAAATTTGACCTGTTTCTGACATTAAGTGATTGCAGATCCGCACAAAGGCATCCTTGAATACTCAAGCTTCATAAGATCAGGAGGAGTTCTCAGTTCCAGCCTGAATAAATAGTCTAAACCCTCATAGTTTGTTAGGGATAGTTCCTCTATTCCACCACCCACCCCACCCCTCTTTTATTGTTCTTTATTGGGAAGATGACAGTTTTGGGAAGCTGTAAGTTTTCTGCGTAATTTGAAATTACCTTATTTTGAGGTTAATTATAAATTAAAATAGGAAAGGAATTTCCTTGTTAGAAGAAAAAAAAAAAAAGGAATGTTGAGAAAGGAGCTTTAGGAGACTTGCTGTGGTAATTCAAAGAAAGTATCTGTCTACGTCTCAGCTGCTGTGATGTGAATCCATTTGTCTTTTTATCTTAAGCTGCTGATCAAAATGAGAGCTAAGGTGACATAAGCCTATGAGCCAAGGTGATAGTGCCCATTCCTTCTGCAGAGGTTGTGATGATCTCTGCAGGGTGACTCTGTTAACCACCATCCCCTGTCCCATGACATATGCACGGATGTTATTCCCCTATTCCATAGCCCTGCCTGAGCTCTTCCCCTAATAAGAACGGTTGGTGTCTTGGGCTCCATCTCTAGAGCTGGTCACTGGAGGCAGGGGATGTGGCATGTGGGACTGTTGGGTGCCAAAGCTCACTTGGGTTGAGTGACTGCCATGTTCTCCTGGTTCCTCATGAGGCTCATCCTCCTTTGATTCAAGTGATTCCTGTAAGATGCAACTCAAATCATGGGTTATTTTCCCCCAAGTTTAAACCTCCTTGAAGTACCCTGAATTTCCCCATCCTGCCACATTACCCACCAAGTGCACTTGAGCAAACACCATCCCACAAATGCCTTTTTTCAAGAGAGAACCTGAACAGCTTTTTCCAGCTACTAGCAAGCATTGGACTCTAATTTGCAGTAAAGTAAGCAAGCTCAGTGACCAGCACAGGAGCCTGCCAATTAACAACTGTAATGTACTCAGATCAAAGCTTTCACTATCTTTAGCCCCATGCTGGCAAAGAGGAAGACTGTGGTGGGTTGACCCTGCCCGACAGCTAAACACATACCCGAGGGCTTGCTCACTTCCCTCTCCCATGGGATAGGGAGAACATAAGAGGAACATGAGAAGGTGGTTAGAAGATAGAGAAGATGGGCAGAGATGATTGTGGATTAATGAGGAAAGCATAAGCTGCGTGCTCAGACAGAATGAAAAGAGGAATTAATCACTGCTTCCCATCAGTGGGCAGATGTTCAGCCACTTGCTGAAAAGCAGAACCTAAGCACGCTTAACAGCTACTAGGGCATCATATGGCATGGAATATCCCTCCTGTCAGTTGGGTGGGCTGTCCTGGCTGTGTTCTTTCCCAGCCTTCTGGCCTTTGTGAGGAGAGGGGGACAGGGCAGAGTGGGAAGGAGAGAAAGCCTCGATGCTGTGCAAGCACTGTCCGGTAACAGCCGAAATGTTCATGTGTTATCAGCAGTGGTTTAGCCAAAAATACAAAGCACAGCACCATACAGGCTGCTGTGAAGAAAATAACAGTAAGACCTGGTACATCTTCCTACAGGGGAGGCTGTGGGTTTGAACTCATGGAGAAAAATTGCCCAAAGCTTGCTGGTGAAAGGCCTTCAGCTGGATAATTACTGTTGTTCATAATAGGATTATTGTAGCTGAATAACTGAGGGAGTTTTAAAGCTTTGGCATCTTTGTGCACTTGACCATGTAGTTTGTGGAATCTTTACTGTCCCATGGGCAAGTGTGCATACACAGAAATAAACATGTATGTGGTCACAGTTATTCTCCATTGTTTCTTTCACTGTGCAACCTCAGAAAGCAGAATATTCTGTTACTTTCTCCTGCTTGAAGAGTAGAAAGTGCTATTGCAGAACAGTGGAAGTACCGAGTACTTCCATTTAATGTAGTAACAATTACTAGACACCAAGTCAAGGTACTCACTAGTCAATTCAGTTTCCCTGTGGGATCTTTTTGTGTAAAAGAAATTGACAGTTAAATGGATATACTTAAGAGGTAGGACATTTTTTGTTTGCTTTTAATGTCTTATCCTGTTATGTTCTTACAAGGCTTACTCATGCTTGAAACTGGTCCTTATTTTCTGTCAATCAGCAGAGGTCTGGTGTGTGTTAGCAAGGCAAGCACTGAAATGCCATAGCTTGACATGTCTTACTGTTCTTATTTCCAGGCTTCCTTATGTGGTCTCTTGTTATTATTTTGTACAAGTACTCCATTGTTGCTGCCCAGATAATGTAAAATGGAGGCAGATAAAGTGTGAAAGGATGCAAAAGTGTAAGAAATAATGAGTCTGTCATGGGGCTGACTGAATATGACACACTGAATAGACAAGGCTGTTCTAGGGAAATGGCTTGCCTTGCTTATATGTAGGAGCTAACTATGCTGTTTTGTTTTCTTGCTAGCAGTGACAAGACAACATAAGATCCTCCGCAGTCTCTCACCCAGAGTTGTTCTGGCCTGTCCACATTGTTTCTGTAACTTCTGTGTCTCTGGATGGCTAGTGAAGAGGGATGTTCACTCTAATGGCCAATTGCTGCAGTTGGTTAAAACGGTGGCAGGAACCTGTCAGGTAAACATATGGAAATATTTTACATTTCTGTGCTGACCCTCCCGATCTATATTTCTTGTCCTTTCACCTCTGTTTTACTGAACTTGCTATATAACATTGTGCGGTATTTTCAATTCCAAGACTGAACCCATCATTGTTTCTCTCCAAGAGAGAATTAATACCTCTTCTGAACTTAAAAATAATAATTATTAATAATTTCTAATTGAGGTACTTTGTTTCTGACTTCAGGAAAGTATAAAGTTCAAAATACTGTCCTTTGCATACTGTTTACTTGGGCTGAGCATTATGGGGTGATGCTAGAATGTTTATGCAAAGCTTTTTTTTTTTTTTTTTTGTCTAAATGCAGATTTAGTTTCTGCATTTCCTGTGTAATACTTGTTTTCTTACTATTACCTGAATATCTTAATACTCTGTTTTGTGAGCAGCCTGGTGATCCATTCTCACTTATGGAATTCTATTCTTTTCATTTGTTACTGTTGCTTTGCCATCCTGCATCGTTTTCCAGTTAGCAGAGATTCACAGATAGTGCATAGTTTGTTTCAAACTATTTACACTCTATAGGGAAAGGAAATAAAAGGTATGCTACGCTTATTTATACTTCACATTCTTGTAGGAGGATTGGCTCTTTCCTTCAGTGCTACATAGTTTAAGTTTTACAGAAGGTGCTGCTCTTCAAAGAACTCTGATTGAACAGCATTCTGACACCACCAATGTGTTATAGACAATTTTGAGTTTATAAATGCTCATGGTTATGCTGATTTTAGGTTATTGTATAATTTACTGTAGTCCTACTGTTCATTTTTAGGTTCTTTTCTATGAGGTTTTTGGCTCTTCTGAAAGAACTTCAATATATTATACTTCATGTGTGATGTTATTGTTTTAAGTCTGGAAATAGCAATGTTTTTAGTAGCTCTTCATTTCAAGCAGCATAAAATAGAGCAAATTCTGTAGACTCCTCTGAGTCTTCATAAATAGGAGGAACAATTGAGGTATACACATATATATGTTTTTCCTATTGTTATGCTTAAAATCCTATCCTGGTATAAATTCTAACCTGTATACCAGTTTATTAATGTACTGTACACACTCACCACTGATTTGCACACTTGCAGTCTTGTTTGCTCCTGCTTGAAACGAAGGCACGATGAGTACCAGTGCAGCTTATTTACAGGATCTGATGATGTCTACACAAGTGCTGTATACTGTTCAGATGCACTGGTTGAGACAGAAATTTCTATTATAGGCAAAAATTTGAGGCAGAGAGACAGTAAAATACAGGGGAATGGAAATGAAACTACAGAAATGGTTAAAGAGACCATGACCACACACACACACAAAAGAATAAAATCTACAGTAGCATATTAAAAAAAAGTTTCAACAGGCAAATACAAGTTGAAAGCAAAATCATTATCTCGTGTGAATCTTACAGCATAATATTAGACTTCTCTTTTCATACCCTGTTCTGTCTAATCAGATGGTTTGACATATTGAACACCAGGTACACAATTTTAACAATACTTGCTTCTTGGTATTTTGATACCTATTCTTTCTACTACTTCACAGCAAATTTTCTATGCATGTATTAAAAAATAAGTGATGTCTAGCTAGAGGGAAAAAAAAGGTTTGCAATATCTTTTCTTTTTTTTTTTTTTTTTTTCCTTATGGAGGAAGGTGACACTGATAATGGTGGGTCTTGATAATGCCGGTAAAACTGCTACTGTCCGAGGCATTCAGGGAGGTAAGCAATTGTATTGTTTATCATCTAATTGAAAGAGAGTGTATAACTTCTAATTTTTCATTATTTTAATCTAAAAGTATTGCTTCATTTCTTAATTTATCTCCTCCTTCCATACTCTTAAAGTAAAATGTTGGTGATCGTTCCACCAAAAATCATGTCAAGTGTTGCCAAAGCATGTCACAGGGCCCATTTGCTAAATACCTGCAGATGAGAGGAAAATTAAGGGGTCTTACCTTTGAAACAAAAATCCTGATTTTTGAAGTCTGGCAAGTCATGCTAGGGTGATTTAAGAAGTAGGTGCTCCCAGTCACATGCCTTATGTTCAGAGGTAGCAGAGCAAGTTCTCTGCATTTGCTCATTGGCCACTGCACTTAGCATCTTGTTCAGCTAATGTAGCCCAAGTCAGTGGTATTTCAACAGGGTTGCTGCTGTTCTGCTGCTTCTTTTTCAAAGATCGCAGTATGGTGTGGAGGCAAGGCAGATAGGAGGGGCAGAGCTGCTTCTGAAGACATTGCACCATTGCACCATCGGCATCAGAGCCCCTAGTTCACTGAGATAGAAAAAAAATTAGTCCACAGAGGTGTTTAATTATCTTGAAAACACTAAGAACGAACATTCCAAGTACCTTGGTGCTTATGTGCCTTAGGTTGATCACTATATTGTTAACTGTGCAAAATGCTAAATTGCAACAAAATCTGTTTTGGGTTCTTGTTTGAATTTCATGGGCAGCATGATGTATTTTTTGACTGGAGTAAGGTCTTTTTCAGTAGTATGATAAAACACTGAAGGAACTTTGTAACTACAAGTCAGCTCTGTGTCTCCACCAGCTACTTTTAAATGAGCAAAAGCATACTACAGAAACTATGAAGGCTATAGACAAAATTCTAATTGATAGTTATTTTGAATTAATGCAATGGTACAAAATATTCTGATTAATGATATATTTCACACTTAGTATACATTAGGTAAATCAATGGACCTGTTTTTGGTGTTTTTTTCCCGCTTGTGTACATGTGCTGAAATTGCTTTCGGGTGACCATCCAGTAGTGGGCGTACGTCAGTAAACTTTATATCAAAATCAGTGTTGTAAGTATGTATAATGAGGAAAAAGTTCAAAAGAAGGAAGTTGCATGTGTATGTCTATAACATAGAGGATGGTTCTAATGATACATTTTTGACATTATTTATCATCAGAAAAGCAGTAGCAATTTTCTAGGCACTTACTTCAGTAAGAGACCTCTTGATTTTTGAGGGTACTTTGCACCATCCAGTGACACATACGAGCAGGAAATAATTTGAGATAAAAATTGTGCTATGAAAATGAAAATTCTGTGTGCTCCCCCCCACTTCTGGCTTTGTCTTTCTAAATAACTTTCAGCTTGTGTAAAAACAAGCATGTACTTAGTAGTCTTTTGGCAGACTTGGAGACTCCACCTCAGTTTTCTGTTTACTCGTGTTATGTAAGTTCAGAGATTTGCTGAAGTGTGAATAAAGTTATGAATATTCTCTCATTTAAATGCCTGAATCTTTGCCTTGAAAACATGAGTGGTTTGTTATTTAGCCTGCCATTATGTTTTAAAATCAACTTTTAACACCTTTATCAGCTAAATGTGACAGTTATTTCCCAGTAAAAAAAGATCATTTTTTGCTAGGGAAAAAAAAAATGGGATAAAGATGGGTATTTCTAAAGAGAAACTCCAGAAAAAGAGTTCTAACTTCTGTGACTGTTTTCCAGGACTCGAATAGTGCTTGCCTTAGAAAGCAATTTTTTTTTTTTTTCCTCCCCTTAACAGGGTTTTTAGAGATTAGAACCTTAAGTTAGTTCAGGATTGATACAACCAGTATTTTTGGCTGTGGACCAGCCAAAAAAAAGTCATGCAGCCTGTAGAGGAGACTTCAGTTATGGCTGCTGGATTATAGCAGAAACAAAACATATTTCAGTTTTTAGGACTCTTAAACTTAGGCAAGTCATATTTGCCAAAATGTTTCTGCAGCTTGTATGTCAGACCTTGTTTTCACATTGAAGACTGTTTTTTTCACACTTCACTATACAATAGGAGCAGGTATTTTAATAATATCCCCTCATGTTCAGCACCATCAATAAGTTTCACCCTTAACCAACCCTCATGCTCACATTATTCTCTCTTGTAGGAGCACATACAGCTCACAGTGCAAAACGTTCTTCAAAATAAAGTCAGTTGAGTTTTGAAGCTGTAGGTTTTCACAAGTGGGGGTCCTGGACTCTTCTTGTGCTGGAGTCTTGGCTTACACTGTTCTGGCCAAAGGGTCTGTTCTGTATCCTATTTCTGCTGTGTGTGAAGGATTCTCTTGAAAAAGGAATGTGGTAGCAAAAGGCTGATGATGGATTAGCTTCTGCACTGCTCTTCAGACCTCAGTGCTTTTGACCATGCCTTCATTTCTTCCTCTCAGCAAGCTGAATTTTACACCTATTTCTCCTGCCTTATGCTGTCAAGCTACATAAAACAGTTGCAGAGATCTAGTTAATTCACCTCTACAAAGGCAGATTAATGGTGTGAGGCAAATACAACTTCTCTGCCCTCTGGAAAGGGAGACAGCAAGCAAAAGTATAAAATACAAAGTTATAGTTTTCTAGCATATTACATGGCAAACTAAAAAAAACCAAATATGAACAAAAAAACCAACAACAATAACAAAAACAAACAAGCAAACAAACAAAAACCACCACCAGAAAATAAAAATAAACAAATGAGGGCCAAAACCTGATCTTGAGTAAAGGGAATCAAGTAGTTTATATCTCAGAAGAAAATGGTCTCAGTCACTTCCTCTCAGTCTTGGGTTTAAACTTTTGAAGCTGTTTTGGCAACCATGAGGGATAAAAAGTAAATTCAGCAGAGCATGAGGCTTCCAGGTCATAGTGCATTAACTGTTTTGTTTGTCTTCCTTCTCAAACTTGGATTAATACAAGTATTGAATAACTGTTCAGATGGGACCATTGGTGGTGAGGGGAGAAAGTAAAAACTGCAGTATGCTGAATGCCACTGCAATTTAACTGTGGTTTTAAGTATTAAAAATTGCCTTTTTTTTTTTTTTTTTTTCCTTGGTGCTCTCATTTAAATTAATGTAAAGGAACTGGCTGAGAGATTAGTGTGTTAATTTGAAATTACCTGAGGAGAGGTAAAAATCTTACTGTAAAATATACATGGTTAGCAATATGGTGTCACTTAACAGGGAGGGTGTGCTTCATATAATTAAAAATATTAATTTTGCTGCACAAATCACAACCTAAAACCCTCTTTAAATAACTAAGGACACTTTTTACTGAAGGCTTTCTGCTTTGAACTCTGACAGAGTCTCCTGAAGATGTGGCTCCAACAGTTGGGTTTTCCAAGATTAACCTAAAACAGGGACGGTTTGAAGTCACCATCTTTGATTTAGGAGGTGGAAAAAGAATTCGAAATATCTGGAGAAATTACTACGCTGAGTCCTACGGTGTAATATTTGTTGTGGATTCCAGTGACATTGAAAGAATGGAAGAAACAAAGCAAGCCATGACAGATGTTTTAAACAGCCCTAAGATCTCAGGAAAACCTGTGTTAGTGTAAGTATTAATAAATGTTCTGCTAATAATCTGAAATTCTGCAATTTTTGATCCTTCAATACACCCGCTAAAGAAGTATTTTTATATAGTATAAAGGTAAGTATAAAGTACACTAGTACTACTGTAACTTTATCACTAAGCAATATTGCAATTAATTTTACAGTACTTCTTAAGTATTTATTTATGCCTATCTTGATATCGTACTAGTGAACAAAGCCTGGCCTTCCATTCCCTTCCTGTTGTGCACAGTGATATACTGAATCAATTCACTGCATCTGACATCAGAAATTTAGTCCTTCTCAGGGATATTTCTTTTTCTTCTCTTTCATTAGCAGTGGAAAAACAAGAAGGTGGGGTTTTGGTAGTTATTGAAAATTCTAAACCCAAAAGGTTATGATGGGTTAAAGGCTTTGCAAGTTTGGTGTAGTAACATTGTGTAAAAATATGTTTAGGAATTATTTAAACAATTACTTAAATGGTGAATGCTTGATTATATTCTGCAGACACTGGTAATCTCTCATCAATAAAAGTCTTGTTCATTTAACACATGGTGGTGCTGCTGATACATGATCAGCAAAAATCTCATTAAAGAAGGCTTACTTTAATAGTACTTGGCACATGCTTTTGTTTCAGTGTATGTGCTTTAATTTAAAAAAGAGTTTCAAAAGATCAAGAGGCATTCTTTCACAAACAGATAGGTTCATGAACTTCTCTACTTAAAAACTAGGTTTAGTAAAACTTTGGAAATAACATATTTTATTAAATTCAGCCACACAAGAGGTCTTTGAGGACAAATACCCTTTTGATGTTACAAAATAAGCTTTGGAAGTTTAAAATAGTTTTTCAGGACAGCATCTTTATGTTTGGTGGGAATAAGAGCTCCATAAGGCAGTAATTACACAACATTTCTTTGATACCCTAAAGAATCTGTAAAGCTAAGAGGAAAGGCCTCTTACTTTGAAGAAGTACTGATCCTCTGGTGGTTTGACGGTGAAATTGGCTAATTGTTTTGATCAGATAGAGTGTAGTTCAGCAAGATAATAGTGTCTATGTGGAAAACAGATTTTATAAATTTTAAATATTTTTTAAAAATTTAAATTTTGAATTCTGTTACTATCTGGATGTTATTACTTCATAATGGGAAGGCAATAAGACCAACTTAATGCAGATATTTTAACTCAAATTATTCTAAAAATGCAATTGTAACAGTTGACAACCATGTAGTGTTTATAAGTAAATACTACTTTAGATTTTTTTTTTTCATAGAAAACTCAATGCTCTAATCACATAATAGAGTTAATTTAGGTGGCTGGCTGTACCTGCAGAGAGCCCACTCTCTTTCTGGGAGCTGATCCTGCTTTTTGATCCATGTCAAAGGCTAATCAGAAGGCAGGATGTGTTAACTGAGTCTAATGGTGCCTGAGTTTGTTGATATTGCCTTCTGATTGATTGAGCCTCAAGCCTTTGAACAGAATTTGCACTTGTAGTGTCCTGGTTCTGCGGAGGAGTCGAGTAGGTTCTTTGTTTTATGTTCTCTTTATTAAGCTGCATCTTGAATTATGAGATCCTTCCTGTATTGTCTTTGTTTTCTGTTCAGTATCTGTGTTCATGGCATACCTGTGCTACTCTTGGCATGCTCAAATCACATAAAACCTAGAATTTGTCCCAGTTTTTGACCTTTTCTTATATTGTGAAGCCTCTAGGCTGTGAAGTAGTAAGGGTTGGTCAGTAAGCAGTAGTGTTTGTGGCATGGAAATGGCGTGCTTACCCAATTAAATTAAACTGATCTCATGCACCTTCCCTTCCTTGAAGATGCTTGTGGTTGGAGATGAAAGTCCCCATCACTCATCCTTGCCAAATAAGAGGTTTTTCCCTTAAGACTCTCTGGAAACTGAAAATGTATCATGAGCAGAATAAAGGAAACAGCAGATTTCCAAATTCGTGGCAAAAGCTGGCCTTTTTAATACTTCCTTCTTCTAAAGATATCCAGCTTCTGTTGTTTTGGTTTTATTAATGAGATACTTGGTATCCACATAGCAATAAGTTCCCTAATATCTTCCTAGATTTCTGATTAGTGCATTTTAGTCTGCATGTATGTGAGAAGGCCAGTATTTACTGAAAATAATACAATGACTTCAGGAAAGTTCAAATTTAAGTAATTCCCTTCTCTGCCATGGCTTTGCAGTGCAGAGCACAATCTATACCTCTTTTTATAAAATACAGTTACAATTTCATGGCAGAAGAGAGACTTCTCTGTTATTTCCACAGTCCACAAGTGTGTCTCTGGTCTGGACTGCTCCTTTCGTCCAGCACCTGAAATAAACAAGGAGAAGCAGAAAAACAGGTGCTGTCTGTAGGTACACAGATTTCTCTACTATGTTATATGTATGTTTAAAAAGAGAGTGCTTATTCATTAATGTCTTACTAATTACTAATTATCATCTTAACTAATAAAAGAACCTAAAACCTGAAGGGATGAAAAGAAATGAGCTGTAGCTTCAAATTGTGTGTATACTGAAGAATGATGAAAGAGCTGTTGGTGACTTGATCAGAGTGAAACAATTGAAATGTTTATACTGGATGTTCCTGTTTCCTTTTAAAAATGGATTGAACAAATGTACCCAGACTTCAACAGTCAGCACTGAATCTTAGACTGATGTTATTTACCCTAAGTTGTGCTATATGTCATCTATGATGGGATATATATATATATATATATAAGCATGCTATAAGATTGGATGCAAATCCATTCTGGATTCTGAGGGCAGAAGCAGAAGTTGCTGTATATGCAGTATGAGGTGTATCATTGTGTACTCCTAGCATCTGCTTCTCTTTGAAATAAGCTGCTGGTTATGTTTTTTTGTTCGAGTGTTTTTTGTTGTATTTCTGTGTGTGTGTGCATACATCTAGTATACAATAAACAAGAAGATAGTATTACATTTTTTTTGCATTTTTTGGCTTTCGTTTATCTGGATAAAGCTCATTTTGCCAGTTGGATCAGTGAAAAATAAAATCTTCACTACTAGTAGCTAAGATAGACCTTTGAAATAAACCATTGCCCATTAGAAGGATTCATAGATTTGTAAAGGAACGTTGCAGTTACCAAGTTATCAATATAGTATTTGTGGCTGTGCTCTGTAATATTTATCTTCTTAGTTAATAAAACTTTGAAAGGAATGATACTGGAGTGATAGAAATGGTAAGGAGGCAGGAATTTGCCTCTGGACAAGAATTGTGATATGTCAGAATTCTCTACCTAATCTACCTTTAAACTGTGGACTACCTTAGCATATATAAAATAAAAACTTGAAATTGCATTCCCTGTTAGGTAAATTAATGCTTACTAGAAATTTCACTTAATCAGTTAATATGTGTACTTGGAAGAAGGGAGGGAGAACAATTTTGGGTTGTCTGACTAGGACAGCGATGTGTGCAGTGAAAGTCTTTTAATCTTAATGTATAGGGAGGTATGCAAATAAGGCCCTCATTTCTTTCATGAAGTATGTGGAAAAATACATTCACAACAAATACTTTAAAATCATTCCAGTAGAATAGTAGGTCCTTGAAAAGTGTATGTGCTGTATTCTGGAAAAAATAACTTTTCTTAAAGTTGAAAATCCAGGTTCTTTTAAATACAGGCTTTTCCCAGTAAATACACTATTTCTATTATTTCTTTAAATAACAGAATATTGCCATAGAATGTTTTTCCTAATTTGTTTTCCATCTGCCAACACATGCAACGATCCTTTCTGAAAAGCTCTGGAAAATAATGTCAATTTACAGCACTGCATGTCTTTTTTGTTTGTAATCAATTTTATACTGTGAGTCGTTCTAGGAAGATACTGCTGTGAATTATCCTGGGTAGGTGGGTCTCAGTTCACAATAAAGAACAGGATCCATTACTAGAGAGTTTGAGATGCAGACAGAGCAAAGCAGAGCTGGAGTCCCCGGCCCACTCTTCACCTCTTTTCTTCCACCCCAATCGGTTGGATCCGGGTATGCAGCTCTGCTTTCTGCCAGGGGCAAAACCAGGGTCATTTTAAGGCAGTTTTCCTAAAGTGATGATTGTATTGGCTGTTACTAATTGTTAGTACAAATTACTTGAAGATGTTAAACTCATATATGACATTTTAAAAAACTGATTAATGTTACTAAATTTATGTTTGCTTTGCTCATGTAAGCCTCGCTAATGTGTAAGTAATTAATCAGCCTGTTACAGATGGGGAAATCATTTTGTAGAAGGGAAGGGTTCTTCCAGTTCTTATGTTCATGGGTCAATGAATCTATCAGCTTCCTCAAGACTTATATAGGTATGCATTTAAATTTTATTTTTTTAGAATTATTTATATACTTGCTTTTATTGGAAAGGAGCACTTAGACTTCATACAATTTAGGCAAATGCTGGTTTTCTTTTGGGTTATTTTTGTGTTTGTTTGTTAGGGTTTTTTGTTGGCTGTTTTGTTTGTTGTGTTTTCTTTTTTAGTGTTTTTTTGTTTGTTTGCTTGGTTGTTTTTTTTTTTACTTTGACATGAAATACATGCAGGAGGAAATACACATCCACGTGCCATGGATGGTATTTCTGTACTAGAGAGATTGCTGTGCATATTTTTATTTTTATTTTTATTTTTTTTAGTAGGAAGCTACTTTCTGCCTGTTATTTTGGTAATAAGGGATTATAGCTATTAATATTTTACATTTCTTATTAGAACACTAGCAGGTGTGCTTTAGTTTGTTTGCTCTCCTGCATAACTATATAATTAGAAAAAATACTGGAAAGCTATGCTAATGATGACTTCAAAAGTTCTGCTGTTAGTCATTTTGAATGCTCAATATAAAATTCTTATGATGCCAATGTTAAGTTGCCGTTAATACTATTTACTTTCAGTTAATAGCACCTTGTATTAAGAAAAAGTTTTCCACAAGTATTTCTGTATTTCTGTCTTTTAAGTTCTGCAGGCTGCTATGGATGTTTCTGTTTTGCCATTTTCTAACCAATATACATCT